ATATGTGAACTGTTTGCAATTTATTTATAATATTGAAATGTACAGGTTTAGAATTTTCTACAGTGAAAAGTTTTCGGAACTTCATTATTCAAAGAAGTATACAAAAGCTAGACGTAGAGAACGTATCCAATGAGCGAGCAAAGCGAGCATTGGATTGCGAAGCATTCCGAAATGAACTGCGAAAGCAGTTCCGGGGGTTGGCGAGCGCCAGGGAGCAGGGGGCGAAGCCTCCTAGTTATCTATAATTATTATATCCTGGTAATTAAAACACCTGGTTTTTCCGAGGTAGACAACTTTTTTTTCTCCTTAATAGGACAGTCTAACCTAAATATATGTAACTTTTTATCGTTTCTCGAAATAGTTATATTTCAGGGATTTTTTAACCAAAACGCTTTCATAAGAGTGACACTTCAAGTTTAATTTTATACCTATGAACAGAAAAGTACATACCAGTGAAATTCCTATTGAAAACCGAAACCAAGCTTAAATTAAAGAGCATGATCGGAGATATAGAATGGGAATACTTATTTTTTAATATAAATAAAAACACAATTCTAAATTTTTTAAAAAGACTTTTAAAAAAAAAGACTAAAAAAGAAAGAAAAAAATTTAAATAAAAGACTATTTTTATTTATAAGAGTATATAATTAAAAAAAATTAAAGTAAAATGGGGAAAAATATGAAGAATCTTTTCAGTGTTTTGAAATAAAACTGTTTTTTTTATTTCATTTTTTTTTCTTCATATTTCAGTAAGAATTTATGCAAATGCATATTATTTTCTTACAAATTATTTTCTTGACATACGTGATAATACAAGTACGAAAATAATACAAATTATTTTCTTAACAATCATTATTTTTAAAAAACCTCTTACTTAGTCAATGAGATAAAATAATGATATTCGAACAAAACAAAATAAATTTTAAATATTTATTAAGTTAAACGAGTAGTTTATTTTTTAATATCTATTAATAAAATTAATAATATATCTTTCAGCATTAAGAATTAAATTAATATCAGCGTTATGTTCACCCTGTATCGAATGCTTTAACAACTCTTCTACCTCTACTCTTTCTACTTGCTTCCCAGAAGCCGCATTTTTTTTTTCTTTTTTGTTTGTGCATTCTATGTTTTTGATTATGTTTTTTCACCTAAGCTAGGTTTCGTTTAAATTAAAATTTTATTCTAGTACGCTGTCAAAAGCCAGTACACTGTCTCTTGATGATCCAGCAATCCTTGAGCAGTATCTCGTTTCATTTGAGAATTATTTTGACACGAAATCACGTGATTTGTGACAATACGTGAACCCTCAAATGTATGACGAAAATGTTTCCTCAATTCGCAACTTCATCGTGGTGAATGGTGGGAGATCGTTCACTAGAATGACGAAACTAGAATAAAGACTAGACAATCGAAAATAACGTGACGAATTACGCTGATCTGTCGTAGGGTGGTCAAGAAGTTAGCCTTGTAACAGGAAGATTTTTCTTCGGGCAAGGGTGAAATTTATATATCTGTCCTCATTGTGTCGTGCCGCCTATATGGCTCCCACGTTTAAGTGATTACTAAAGAAGACATTAGGCACTACCAGTTTTTTTTTTCTTTTTTTTTTTCTTTTTTTGAAAAAAAAATAGAATGGCAAAATATTTCTTTAAATTTGACGAAATTCGTTTCCTCGGAAATTATTTCGTCAATTTAACGAAATTTTTGCTCAGTATCCATTTTTTTACAGTGTATAGGTCTTGCATGCATGTTACATCAAAATTAAATTAAAATTTAGACGCTAAAATTTAGAAAATTATTTTCAGGGCTTATTTTAGCCGGATAATTCACAATAACATTTTTTTTTTTTTTTTTTTTTTGCAAATATATAAATTTTTTACAGTAATCCCTCTCTCTTCCATAAAACTTTTGTATCTGAGTTAATTCTTCTATTTTAGATGATGTGTCTATCGGCAACGCTAATAAATATGTGGATAAGGCTTTAAAAAAATTACGGAGAGAATTTGAACCATTTAAAATACCAGATGTTGAAGAAAAGAATTTTGAAATTCACAAGGGTAGGGTGACAGGGCTTTCAAGTTTATACAGGCACGGTGATTGCACTCTCGATTATGAAGATGGAGGAATACTCATGACTATTGAAGTTGCTGTACGCAATGTTGCCATCAACGTTCAATATGCGAAAAAAATTCTTTTCTTTTGGATAAAAGGTACTTATTACTTTCTTACATTACTTATTTTCATTCAACCACCTGCGTCTTTTGTTTATTGTATTTTTAAATAACATTGACCTAAAAGGAGTATAACGTTCGATTAAAGCTAATGTCGTGTGTTCACTTTTTTTCCTACACGTTAATAGACACCAAAACGTCATTGAGAGAATGATTAAAAAAATATTCTTCTTATATTTTTTGTTTTGCTTTCTGTTTCCACCGTTTTTAGTTCATTTAACTGTGTGCTTGTAAAACAACCAAATGTGTTTGTTTACCAAGTATTAAAACTTAATATCAGTTCCTACTGACGAGAATTAGGCTGTCATCAATATCTCACTTAACAAAATGATTGAGACAATTAGTAATCGTAATCGCGACTGATTGTTCATGTTCTACAACCATAGAGAGATTTTTGGTTTCGGGAATTTTGTAGTAAACGTAAAGTACAATGAATGAAAGGTAACAAAAGAGAAATGTTGTCTTCTGTATGGATCTGTATTTCTGATATTACGCACCCAAACGAGCAGAACATTTGCAAAGCTATACTTTTCGCACGTTTTGATCAGATAAATAAAAACATCTATCCATATAAATAAAATGGAACTTTTATATGTATGTAACCTTATGCGAACCTTATTCAAACCCGCAATTATGTAAAAAAAACTTATACAAACCCACAATTTTGAACCAATCATCAAATTTAGCGTAGTTACGTTTGAAGGGGAATCTAACGGCCTGCACAATATTATTGACAGCAAAGATTCAGAATAAATTTTGGTAATAGGTACAAATTTTTAAAAAAAGTTTTGCACTACAGAGCTATAAGAAAATGGAGTAAACTACTTACTAATGGAGTAAAATTACTTATTCATGTAGGAAAACCATAAAAAATCGCCTCATTATTATTGACACCTATGATGCCGAATAAATTTCATAATAGGTCATTATGTGAAATGGTGTTTTTAATAGATTCTAAGCACTATTTGTATTGATATTGACTCAAAAATACCTACTATAGGTATTGTGGAAATCGGCTTTTGTGGCCCACTGAAAGGAATAATAATAGAAGAAAATTGCTTATTATGTTAATTTTTAACTATATGTTAAATTCGAGCAAAGTCACCGGAAAAGGTAACAAATAGTTAAAGAAAAACCATTGGAATAGTTTTATCTTAATATATTTGAGTCTGTACATGCCTTTTAGTTTTGTGCATGGTTTCCTCGCGTTGCAATTTGTTCATCATATACTCTTTTTTACCTTGTACGAAAAACTAGTATTTAGCTAGTATGTAATAAATGAAATGTTAATTTTAAACTCTTAGTTTATTATTAAATAAATATAATCGATAAACATGTGAAGATCTTACGCTCTTGATTACACTATGGAGGATAGTTGAATGAACAATGAAAATGTTACTCGTGAGTAGGACTGGGCGATATTAGAAATTATATATCGTGATATATCGTCAGTTTTGCATCGCGATATAGCGATGTATCGCTTAAATTTTCAAAAAAGATTCATTTACTTTAAGGCACAGAAAGTCAGATTTCTATCAAGACTTCATACGCATATTGATTTAAATCAATTTATAAATTTGAAAATATATATGTTTTGCTAAAGAAAGATATTAAATAAATTGACTAAGATGTACAAATCTTACTTAAAATATTTATTGAAAAAATGTGTGTAGATACAGAATGAAATATTTGCACTTCTTTATCGTTTATAAGGTATAAGCAGTCTTAATTTAAGTTAACCCCTAAAACACCCTTAATGAAAAAAAATATTGTTATTAAACAAAAGCTGATTTTAAAATTTCAAAATATATTTTAATTAAAATAAAAGTTAGATTGACTAAAAGCCGAAGTTTAAAATTAAAAATGTTCGAATTTTAAACTAAAAAGTAAACATAAGATTTGTAATAATTTCTTAAAATTTTCGTTCTCTGAAAGATTTCTCAGTTTAAAAATAAAAAGGGAATTTTATAAAGATATCTAGCTGAAATTATTGAAAGAAAATTTAAAAAATTAAAAAAAAAGTTTGTTAAGAAATTCATTATACACTTAAAACAAAGTGTTAAAAATATTTTTTTTTTTTTAAAAAAAAAAACTTTTTTAAACAAATCAATATTTGCTTGTACTATTATGCGTAAATAATTACAGAATTATTAAGTTCGATCGTAATGTTCAAATTCTTAATGAAGAAGTAAACACAAGTTTTGTTATATTTTCTAAAAATGATCACGCAAATAACAAAAGATTTCTTAGTTTAAAAATAAAAAAATAAATAAAAGTGAAATTTATCAATATATTTACCTAACAGCATAGGAACAAAATTTAAAAAATAAGTTCGTTAAAAAATTATTTGTATGCTTAAAACAAAGAGCTAAATAAATTTTAGAAAAAAAATGCTTCTTAAACACTATTTTTATTATTATTTCATATAAATAATTAAATTAAATTAAATAATGACCGAATTATGAACGAAAAACAAAGTAAGGCAAAGTTTCTTAATTAAATTCTTAAAAATAAAAACAAAAGAATTGTGATATTCGGTAATATATTTAGCTAATTAACTAATAATATAAAACGAAAATTAAAAAAAAATAATGATTTTACTCTCTAATAAAACGAAGTAGTAATTGATAAAAAAAAAAAAAAAAATGAATAAAATTCGCAAACTTTTCAAATTCTTTTGAACAAATAAAGTTTATTGACTTATGTCCAAAAAATAAGTTTTGTTTTAACTTTATTTCTAAAAATAAAAACAACTCAAGATTTATAAATTTAAAATCAGTAATAGAAGCCCATTAAATTATTAGAAGTTTTATCCGAAAGGTTTTTAATAAATTAAAAGAAAGTAAAAAAATAACCTAACAAATTTATTTACTTTGTAATTTAATTCCTTATGGGTGCCTTAAATTAGATTTCCGATAATTTTCACATTTAAAAATATAAAAAAAGTTTTGTCAGAAAATAAATAAAAAACTTACCTAATTAATGAAGAAACTTTTCTTTATAAATTCTTTTCAATAATAGATTGCGTTCAGAACAAGGTTACGACGGCGATCACGAAGTTAATCCCATTGAAAATAATCTACAAGAAACGATTTCAAATCGCGAAGGTGCGAAAACGAACATGTGATATAACGATATAAGGTCTCAAAAGTGATTCTGATTCTACCGCTCATCAGTCAAGGCCGTCTCAACATAACGAAACAATATCGTCTTCCACAGCGCGAGTTGGCATCGGAACGTAAGAGAAAGTCCTTGCGTGTATCGCTATATCGCTATATCGTCTTCTTCACTCCACGGCTTAAATCAGATTTCTGATGTATCGCTTGGAATGAAAGTTGCTGTATCGGTTTGCCGATATAGGCGTTAAATCGATATGTCGCGATATATCGATTTATAGCCCAGTCCTACTCGTGAGTAGTTAGCTTACACTATATAGGTGGCGCCATCGAGTAGCAAAATTATAAAAAATTAAATTGAAAGATTATTACTAACTGAAATATGTGCATTTCACCATTCTTCCTAAATTATTAACAAACATTAATTTATACCTGTGATGATTTCGTAAGTTAAGTTAAAGTTCATATGCAAAGTTCGTAAAGTAAAGTTTCGTTTATTAAATTAAGTTCGTAAGTTTAATTAAATATGCTTACTAAAATAAGTAAATGTAAATTTAACGTACTAATTTACTAGCTAATTCACCCTAGTTATGTCAGAAAACTAGTTTTTAATTTAGTAAATCTTGAAAGCATATTCACTGATCAAGCGATGAAAAATTACAATGAATAGTTTCATCAAAATAAATTCACATACATAAAATAAATTATATTGCTATAAATCCACTTGGTCAGAATCATGTAAATATATATATGTGTTGAGCGCACAAATCACGATAACTTTTGTCTTCAGAATGAAACCACGCGACTAAAGGACGAATAAAGAGACAATTTTTCTACCTTCCGCTTCTCCTTTTTATTTCGGAAAAAAATTTATGCGGAGATTTTAAAGTCAAAAATCTTGAAACATAGTTTACTGTGGTGCATTCGGTGTACAGAAAAATTTAATAAAAGAGGACCACATACATTTCATTTCGTAGGTAAGTTCGTTCAACACTTTTTGGAATTACTATTGTTTCACGTATATAATAAATATGTTTATAAATTAATGTCTGTGTATCATTTATAGACACTCAAAACGTCAGACAGAAAACAATAAAATTGGCATAGCGATATTTCGAAGCGCGAAGAAGGTCACTGTCGACATTAGAACATTCTACGACAAACCATTCGAGCGGGATTAGCGAAAAGCGAAATGGAATTTTAAGTTTAGTTAGCGTCAGCCATTGTTTCAATTTTAACTATAGACGATGTAATTTTTCAAATATTTTAAAGACAGCATAAGTGATATTTTCTAACTTATAGCTCTATTTGATGCAAAAAAAAAGTTTATTGCGAGTACGTTATGTTTAATTATTATGTTAGGAATGTCATCCTCATTAACTGGAATATGATAGTATGCTCGGACAATATCTAATTTAGAAAATAATGATTTTCCATAGAGAGCATGAGCAAAATTATGTAAATATGGAATAATACCATATCTATCCGGGACGGTTTTTGAATTTTTGAGTCGATAATCTCCAACTAGTCATATTCGAATTTTTGATAACATGTAATCGAGAAGGCCACGGACTTTTTGAAGGACGACATATACCTTTTTGGCACATTGTTAAAAATTCGCGCTTAACTGCTTCGAAAACTTTTGGATGTAAGCGACGTGGCTTACAATGTACAGGTGAACGAACCTGTTGTTTCAATGTGATGAACGGTAGAATGTTTAATAGATTTTCTTTCTTGCGAGTAATATCCGAGAATTTTTGCAATAAATTTTGAAAAGGCATATTAATTGATATAGTTTTAACTGAGTACTGAGAAGAATTAGCAAATAGCCGCTCGACTTTAAAGAAGTGATTGAATCAATGAGATTCAAAACAAGTAATGCATAATGCTTTAAAAAATCAGCGCCAATTATTGGCGATTTGACATCCGCGATAATAAAATCCCAGCCAAATAAACGACGGAGGTTAAATGATAATTTTAAATGTTTCGTTCCCTTGCCCTTGTATGTACTTCCCGAATCTATAAGAAAATTTAAGTTTGTATTTTCATCATAAAAGAATAATCTGTTGCTTAATTTATTACCAGCAGAATCTGCAGACAAAACAATATCACTTATTCATTTATCGAATTAAAAGAACAAGGCTGTTGACATTTTACCGCATCTTTTCCAAACCGAAAACGATAAAAACAAAATGAAAATTCTTCTGATTAACTTCTTGTCCTTGAGTTGGAAAGGCCACAAGAATTTAATCGGTGCCGGTATTGCTGCATAGAAATTTTTCTCTACTTGTAAGCTGAGCTCTGAAATTTGATTTTGAAGAGCAACAAATAAATTATTTTTTAGATCGGTTTCATTTTGTTTAATGGAATTTATTTGCCGGATGGGGGTCGTTTCAAGTATTTTATCAGCTAATAAAGCCAATTTAACCAGTGTTTGATCTGTTAAAATTGATAAAATAGATTGTACATGGGGTTAACGTTATAGCCATATTGTTTTAAGAAAATCCTCAGTTACTGAATCGGTAGCAACTTCTCGCATTTGTCGTAGGAGAGAGGGTTTTTGATCGCCTAATTGAAATTCTGAAAAAAGTTTTCGAATGCGTTTATTTTCCGAATCCGAAAATTCGGTGATGAGACGTTCTTTCAAAGTATCATATTTATTAGTAGCAGGGGGTGAAAATAACAAGTCTGATACATGAGATAGCGTTTCTGCATCGATATGTGCAATAAGACTTGCGTATTTAGTTTCATCCTTAGTTATGTTAGATAAAGTAAATGCACTTTCAACTTGTAAAAACCAAAGTTAAATATTTGTACGATAGCAACCTTATTTACGTGAATATTTTCAGCGTTATTTGACTGTATATTAAAATATAATAATGCATATATGTAATGAAATTAAATCAATATACAGTATGCAAATTAAGAAACAAAAATTGAAAAGCCACAGTACCGGTTTTATGAAACTTCTGATATCCAAAGCGAAACTAGTTATTCCATTTGAAACACAATCTCCTTAATATTTGAACGTCCGGCGGTCACCACTGTGATGGTTGGTTGTTGTCCAGCAGATAAATAGATTGAGTTTACATTTTAATTAGTATTTATTTTACATTTAAGTATTAAGAAGTATAAGAAGAGAAAATATGAAATAAGAGCAGCGCATCATTCAACAATGGCGGTTAGGATTCTTCTGGTGAAAATGACAGAGACAGTTCCTGATCGCGGTTACGATTAAGTTAAATTCAGTCGCCGCAATAGTAATTATTTTAAAATGTGTTAGTATAAAAGTAAATAATTTGAAATCAATGGTAATTGATGTGAAAACAGACTAGTTATTTATTCAAAGGCAAAATTAATGAAAAAGTAATACTAATTTGCTTAGGAGAAACATAAAAAAAACCCTAATTATTATTGAAGCCAATGATTCTTAATTTAGGTAATATAATGCTTATTGAAATTAAAGAAATAAGTTACGCACTGAAAGACAAAATTAAAGAAGTTAATTAACTTACTCGCTTAGAGGAACAGCTAAATTGGCCTTACTGTTATTCACTACAATGATTCTTAATTTATGTTAATAATATGAAAATAATTGAATTGTGTTAATAAGCAGAACTATTTTATTTTTATAACCGTCGTTGAACAGCCGACCCAATTTCATGGGTTTACGACTACTTACGTTCAACTCCCTAGCCTTGTAATTTTGAACCAATCCAGAAGACAAGGAAACTCCTGGATCAGTACCCCCAGAGGTTTTGATTTGTTGTGGGAACATGGAGGACTTTGAGACTCGACAGATTTAACGTGCATCAGTCACCATTTACTACACGGGGAGTCTTCGGCCGGCGAGGATCGAACCCACGACCTCTTGGATATGGGCCCAGCGCTCTACCGACCAGGCTATCCCGGCCTTAAGCAGAACTATTGGAGAAAAGATACTTATTGAAGTTATACTTCTTATGCGACTTCCAACAAGGTTGCGTTAAACGTTTAACGCTACATTTTTATTGGCCGGGAAATCACGTGGTAGGATCCAGTTTTCCCTCATTCATTTCCATATTGTTTTGGTTCTCACTAGCATGAAAATAATAAATGTATTGTTTTTCTATAAATATTTTTTTAGTTTGTTTTAATACACATATAATTTAATAGGGTAGTATTTTTTATTTTCAAACTTAGTGGATAACAATTGTAAAAAATGAGTGAAAGAAATCCCACGGACATTGCGACGGATTTAAGGTTATGTCAGGGTAAGTCTCTTGTGAATACCAATTGATTGTTTCTCTTCTGAAATTACATTATGACGCATTCACATACATTATTAATACATTTTCCAGGGTGAGACGATGAGGCAACCACAAGCACTTCCACTGGTTCAAGAAGTCCACGAGGGAAAATGCACAATATTACCGTGATTACAGAGCACGGAAGCGAGCGGAGCAGGAAAAAGAGTCGTTGAATAGAACTAGTGAATTCTTCTACGACTGCTGATTCTTCTACAATTAACGTCGCAGGTTGCGAAGTTTAACTTCTTCCTCGCGGAGGGACTCCACGCACTATTTTTTTTTTCGTTTTGAGGAATCTTAAAAATTGTCCATTTTGTTATTGATACCAATGCTTAATTAACACTGGTAATTATATATTTATTAAACTGAGAAAGAGTAAGCTGCGTGCTAAAATAGCCAATGGAAATTTTTTTGGAGGAAGAGTAGAAAATCGCCATTCGCAGAATATGCTTAGTTAATTTTGGTTATGTATTATTGCTTTTGTAGTTTTTAAAAGAATCGGAAGAAGGGGACAGAGGTGAAAGGAGATGGGGAAAAGTGACCGCGAGATTGCCCTATTTTTATTATAGCTCTGTGGTTACAATTGACTTGTTGATTTCTATATCCTTGAAGCCTAATTTGGTCGTCACCCGTAATATTATTATTTAACTTTAAAGAACAGATATGTTCTTATTTATTCGGTAGCACGCGAAGTCGAGCACTTTACGGTAGAACAGTTTAACGAGGACAAATACCGCACACCCTCGGTCCCTACGCAGACTGATCCAAGTGGTCACCCACCCGCACACTAGCCGCAGCCAGTGATGCTTGACTTCGGTGATCTGCTGGGAACCGTGTCTTAACGATCAGTGCACTGCGGGACTATTACGTTCTTATATATTATATATATTACTGTGAATAACAGAAATGAGTGGTTGTCGACTTTCACCGGTGAATGCTTACAATCACTAAATCGCTTTGATAAATGTCTGAAATGCATATTAGGTCTAGTTACGTGCCCCTGCCGAAATATATATATTTTTTTAAATAACGGCAGGCACTGAACTTTCGTTCTTCGCCTTAGAAGATGCCGGCATTGTTACTCATTTATCGTTACCCAGTGGGCACCTGAGAATCAAAGTCACGGAGGCGAGCAACATTAACCACGCCACACTGCCACAAATACTCGTTCATAGAGTGGGCCACATTCTTACATTCACACATTAGAAGACAACACAGAGAGAAACATCCATGTCCAGAGCGGGATTCGAACCCGCAGCCATTGGCTTCGCAGTCAGGCACGCTAACCACTCGGCCACCTGGTCGGCATCCCCTGCCTATATATACAGTTGTCCGGTATGCCCTACATCAATACCTTTTTACGGTCAAGTGCTACTGCTCGATGCTCCTAATCTATCCTCAGCAGATATTAAAATATCGAATAATGTCAACAAATAAACTGATATCATATCGGATATAACAAATATTTTGGACATTCACCAAAGCGACTATGTGACTGTTGACATTCACCGGGGAGATTTGACATTCACTTGATTTCGGTTATTCACCTTAACATAATACGGAACAAATTTTCTTCTCATAGCTGATTTATTTTTCTGTATATATTTTTCAGGTCACGCAATGATTTCTGTAGACAATTGTGCTGTGAAAATGAAAATATCTACCAAGAACAGTGAATCAAGCTGTCAAGTTATTAATTTAGGAAAATATGAGCTAAAAAGACTCACAGGCATGAGTGTTCTGCTGAACTGGTTGGTTAAACTTGTGGTCAATGTCGTAGCCAGAAACTCGCGAAAAATAATTATAAGGGCTTTAGAGCAATTTTTTTCATGAAACTTCCGTGTGAAATATTTCTTCTATTAAATAATTACATCACGAATTTAAAGTAATTTTTACTATAAGAGCAGCTGTGCAAAGTTTGTGCTGAACACACGAGTAATACTAGTACAAAGTACACACTAATGCAAAGCTTGTGATATTAGCAGAAAGAGCTCTTGTAACTTTTTTTTACAGAATCATATATTTATTTGATTGTTGCCACCATTTGATACATTTTCACCCTGCTTGTTAAATGTTAAAATAATGTTTATAAGTATCAAACAAATTTCTTATTAAACCCTAAAGAGTTTACAATTCCTAGTATTTCGCGTAATTTCGCGTTTTAAAAAGAAAAAAAACCGCCATACTAACTGAAAATATTTTAAAAGACTTTCATTGCTTAAGAGCCATAATCTTTATCATTTCATTTGCGAATTTCAAATGCGAAAATGTTTTTTTTTATCACTTCTACAAATAAACGCAGGCTGTGTTTACTCAATTATGCAAGTCACTACATACCGTTTTTTACGAAACAGCTTTATATGGAACTTCATTTTCCACCGATGAAACCTCATTTATCTATTAATCCCACACTATAATAAGATGTCTCTAAATCCCAGACTATAATAAGATGTCTCAAAAACGGACACTATACTAAGATGTCTCTAACATCCACACTGTAATAAGATGTCTCTAAATCCCAGACTATAATAAGATGTCTCTAAAACGCACACTATACTAAGATGTCTCTAAATCCCACACTATAATAAGATGTCTCTAAATCCACACTATAATAAGATGTCTCTAAATCCCACACTATAATAAGATGTCTCTAAATCCCAGACTATAATAAGACGTCTCTAAAACGCACACTATACTAAGATGTCTCTAACACCCACACTATACTAAGATGTCTCTAAATCCCACACTATACTAAGATGTCTCTAAATCCCACACTATACTAAGATGTCTCTAAATCCCACACTATAATAAGATGTCTCTAAATCCCACACTATACTAAGATGTCTCTAA